TGGTGTGCCCGGGGCCACGGCAAAGGGGCCAGGTCTCTGAGAGAGACAGATGTTTCCCAGAAAAACGCCGATAAAAGGGCACTACTGACAGCAGGGCCGTGCTGGGAGATGCCACCAGGATCATGGCCAGTCTCTGTGAAGCATCCCCTTACGCTGCTGGGCCCTGAAAGAGGCAAAATCCAGTTTCCCCACGTAATTTTATTTGTTGCACCGTTTCAATATTCAAATTGCTATAAATGACGGCACCTTCAGCCAGGCAAATCTTTTAAGCTCTAGGTTTTGATTACGACGGAGGCCAAACGCGGCGGTGAAGCGTTTCACTAGGTTGGAACGCTGGCAGCGTTGGAGGCGGTACACAAAAAATTACTTCTTACACTTGCTTTTATCACAGTCTTTGGCTTGCGGTTCCCTCACACAGAATAAGAAGAGAGGAACTGGCTGAGACCGTCACTCAAACCCCATACGCCTGACAGAGAACTTTTAGGATGGGCAACAGCGCACTGAAAGCCCACCTGGAGACAGCACAGAAAACTGGTGTGTTCCAGCTAACTGGAAAGGGGCTTACTGAGGTAACGTAACCAAAGGGGAAATGTGCCTATTTGTGTGCGTGACTGACACTTTTGGAGAGAAATTCACAGAATCACAGAATGTGTCATGGTATTATGTCACAGAATTATGTCATGGCATACTTTCTTCTCCGTTATTAACTTAAATTCTTTGGATTAAAAACTATTCTTTCTAGATGTTAGACTTTATATCCATTTTCCCTTCATCAGATTAAAAAATATTTTTTAAAATAGGTATTAAGCAAGTTTGCCATCTTAACTGCATGCTGTGTTGATGGGACATTGATACATATGACAGTATGTAATAACAATCTGAATTGCAATTAAAATATTAAGCTGCACAACTTGAACACTGAAAGTTGAATCATCTATTTAAATGCTGTATCTTTTTTCTCGCCATTAGTTTCCAGAAGACTTGCAGAAGCTAACAAGCAATTTAAGGACAATAGACTTGTCGAACAACAAAATAGAGCTCTTGCCACCACTCATTGGAAAATTTTCCCTTCTGAAGAGCCTTGCTCTAAACAACAACAAACTGAGTATGTCTGCTAATTAATATCTCTACAGATTACTGAAATAATAACCTGACTTCTCTCATCAGAAACTAAATGTAATGATTTAACTCTCATGGGATGTAGATGGGGAGTTTAGCCACCTAAAGTGGAATTCATGTACAGAAAAAAACCCCTACAAACCAATCATAAATTCTTCAAAACTAGTTGCCACCTTAGTTGTGTTATTATTTTTACAATGACATATAAGTTCTTAAGAGCCATAACGTTTCTGCGCTGTGACTTGTCTGATCTAAAGGTTTAAAAGCATCAGATGGTTTAGTACTTGCACAGAGAGCTGATGAGGAGGATCATCTGTAGAAAATGCTGCTGCCTGTTCAGTGGCTGTTACTGATTCTGTTGAACAAATGTCCAGTTTTATGGAAAGATTAGGATGAGGTGAAGAAACTAACTTTTTAATGTGCTAGTTGTGCATTGTTTGCCTTCTTTGAAAAAACAGATGTAATTTACAAACTTTTTTGTAGCACAGCTTGAGAGTGCTACAGGTTATACACGTGTGTAGGTAGAATGAGGGATGAACAAGAGCCAGCAGAGCTTACCTGGTGAGGTTTACATGCTCCTATAATCCTTTCAGATGGATTACCTGAGAACTTCCTCTGGAGTGAGTTGAATAATGCCTTTAAAGGGCTGCAGCACACCTGAAGCTGTGAATTGTGGGGTACTTCAAATGCCACAGGATGTGTTGGCAAAGTGGCGAGTACCCAGTACAACCGATAGGGCTAAAATCCTCTCACAGTAGTGTTTTCAGCCTGTGGTTTGAAGGTCTGTCTTGTCTGCAGGTTATTTTTAAGATGTTTATGGCAGCTGGTTAAAAAGCATGTACTGTCAGGGGGCTTAAGTTTCTGAGTAGGGATCTGTGCCTTCAGTGGAAAATGAGGACAAATCCTGTGAGCAACTCCTGTACTATAGCACTATTTTCCATGCAGAAGCCTATTGAATTAAACGGGTGTGGATGTTTACTGCTCTTTGTTCAGGTCATCTCTTTGTTCTGTCATTTATTTCTAGCTGCTTTACCTGAGGAGCTGTGTAAACTGAAAAAACTGGAAACGCTTCACTTGAATGGCAATCACTTGAGGCAGCTACCGTCTGCATTTGGGCAACTTTCTGCTCTCAAAACCCTGAGCCTTTCTGGAAACCAGCTTCGGACTGTGCCTACGCAGCTCTGCGGTCTTCGCCACTTGGATGTGGTAGATCTTTCCAAAAACCAGATCCAGAACGTGCCCGACACTGTGGGAGAATTGCAGGCTATCGAACTCAATTTGAATCAGAATCAGGTCTGGTAACTGAGATATTATGGGCATGTAAATTTAGGACATGGTTTATTCTGGATTTAGTACATCTAAAGAACATAAGCTGACACCATCAGAGCTTTAGAGCTAAAAGATGTCTCCCGCGCGCAACAGAAATGAGGGACTGTAACTAGAATTTATGTACCGATACAACCACCTTCCTGATTTTACAAACAAATACTGATTTAGTCATACAGAAAATGATTTGAACAGCTCTTGAGTAAGAATCTGATAAACAGATGTGTAGGTTGCCTGTTGCCACGGAAGGAAAAAATGTTACTTGGATTTCTGATCATTATTGTTACTTGGATATTGTTGTTAAGGAGTTACTGTTATACATAGTGTATGTTTACAACATAATTGTTCCATATTAGTCGGAAACAAGTCACTAGAAGTAATCATGGATGACTAACATTTTCCTTGGGTTTTTTTGTGTTTTATTTCTATCAGATTTCCCAGATCTCGGTGCAGATCTCCCACTGTCCACGGCTGAAAGTCTTGCGTTTAGAAGAAAACTGTCTAGAACTCAGCATGCTTCCTCAGAGCATCCTTAGCGATTCCCAGATCTCACTGCTTGCAGTAGAAGGCAACCTCTTTGAAATCAAGAAACTCAGAGAACTGGAAGGTTATGACAAGGTCTGTGTCCTTTGTTTTTAAGGAAGTTTCTGGTGAAGTCCTTACCCAGTACCTCCTCAGGATACGAAGCATTTATGCTAAATAAATGGTAAATAAAAGCACAGACAATCTCTTGGGATTGTCACTGGTACTGCATTCGTAACTGACCTCTGAAAGGAATTTCAAATGTTCTTCAAAGATTTAACTTCCTCTCAGGATTCAGGATCAGAGCTCCTTCAGCACCTTTTGAAGGGCAGCTAATGATGACAGGTGTGCATCATCACTTTGATGGGACAAAAAAATAACAGATGCTTCTTTATGCAGCATTCTTAACTGCTTACTGTTAGTTCATTTTTAACACTTGAGATTTGACCGTGAGGACTTCTTTTCTAGAACATTAATCTGAATTGCAGCGAATGGCAGAAATTTTGGGGGTCTTTTTTGGTTGAAATCTAATGGTTTTGTCTGGGTAATGAACCTATGCTCTAGGTGCAGAGTGCTTTTAAGCAGCAGAAGCTTAGCTGCTTTCAAGAGCAGCAAATCTTGTATTAATTTCCGAATCTTAGATATTTTTTTTTGGTTTCTTTGCAGTACATGGAACGCTTCACAGCTACAAAGAAGAAGTTTGCGTGATCGTTATTCTGACCGTGTGTAGTCCCCGTAAGAAGAGTTAGTGACTGAAGCCTGTGCTTCGCTGACTTAAGCCAAGACTGATGAAGGAGGTGATCGCAGTACTCCTTCGCTAGTAGTCCAATATGGTCTGTAAAGGCCACACTGAATAAACCTGAACCAGAGAACACGGGTGTTGAACTGATGAACCTGCCCAGGGGCCAGTTTTGATTTTTGTGCTGCTTTAGCTTTTAACACAATACACGTTCTCCCGTGTTGGGGCTCGTTCTTTCACAGAGAAAGGGAATGAGCATTTCAAAGTTGCCAGTCCCCTTTTGTCAGGAAGCTGGCTGTTGATTTCTGCCAGAATTATTTCTTCTGGAAACGTTGTTGCATGGTAGCACATGAAAATTCTACCACCAAAGCAGATCTGAAACCTGTCTTTGCAGTAAGCACTATTCTGCAGAGAGCTTTTACAGATGAGGTTTTAGTTTATAACCTGTGTAAATTTTTTTTATAAAGCAAAAATAGTTGTGGCTAAGTTAAATGTTAATTATTAACTACTTCCAGGAAAAAAAAATCATAGTTTGAGCATCCTTCATGTCCTACTGTACAGTTTTTCTTTTACTATAAGCAAGAATTGCACTACAGACCACTTCTGCTTGAGCTGTATCAAATAAAAATGAGGTTCATCTTCAGTATATTCAGTAAAAATGTACATTGCTAGAAAATATAATGTCCTTGCTCTGACTCCTTGCATACAGAGCAACGCTGAAAGTTTTGGTCATCAGCCTGCTGCTGCCTTAGTACCAAAAGCACCTAGGAAGAGCTAAAAATGTATGCAATTATGTTAAGTTGTACTGAAAAGGAAAATGTACTTCTTTTATTTTAGTAAATAATTTTCAAAAAACTCATTTCATGCTTGTTTGGTGTAACTGCTGCTATTGTCACTGTTAACACGTAGTACTAAGCTATTGCTGGAAGCCGTCTCTTGGGTACGGGGTTCTGTTGGTTTTTGGCAATGGCTGCACTTCAGCAGAAAACGTCAGCCCGTTGGTAGGGATTCATCAGCATGTACTGCACCATGTAGTTGGAGCTGCGCTAAGTACACTTCTTGGCAGAAGAAGATCAGCAGGGATGCATCTGTTCCTCACGGGACTGTCTTACGTGAATTATTTTTTACACTTAAGTCTTCCTCTACAAGATAAGACGTTCAGACAGCAAACTTTAAGAAGTTGGTGGTGCAGTCATTAAATGTATTCAACACCTCATGCCATCTGCAATTAAGAAAAATGAAGTGACCTCTGTGCCAATCTTTGTCCTCAATGTAACAACCACAATTAAGACTAGCGATAAGCAGTTCTTTTATAGAAGAGGTATGTAGTTCCCTCTCCCTGCTGCTGTCTTATTTCATTTTTTCCATAGTAATACTTATGCTTCGTTCTGCAAGAAGTGACTCAGGAAGTGCTTTTAAGAATCACAGAATCATAGAATGGCCTAAGCTGGAAGAGATCATTTTAATCCATCCTCCCTGCCGCCAGGGACGCCACCTCTCAACTAGATCAGGCAACGCATGGAGACCGAACGGGAATCGAACCCACGACCTTAGCGTTGTTAGCGCCATGCTCAACTGACTCAGCTAACCGGCCCCCAAGAATGCAACTTGTATCTTACCATAAGACCCTGAACAGTCAGAAATCTATTCAGCTTCATACTAATAGACTCCACAGATCAAGATGTGCAAATCTAGCAGTGAATAGTTTAAAGAGCCAGGCTTAAAATTTTAGCTCCTTCCACTTGATACCTAAATCCCATTTGAAGTATTAGGTTTTTTTTCTTCCTAGAGATTTGTTACATACAAGACTCCACAGACTGAAGCTTCTTAGCAGATTCCCCCTTCACATTCTCCAACTCTGACAATTACAAAGGAGTGGTCTATCGCCAACATGGATGCACTCGGCAATGTCATGCTGGAGCATTTTTGGTTGTGAGGTGGTTTTTTTGGTTGTTGTTTTAGTTTAATAGATGTTTATCAGGATTCTCTTCCCTGTTCACTAAAGATGTGTAATATGAGATGGAACACTGAAAAACTGTAGTATTGCTATAATTATTGCTATTGTTGTTTACTGCTTTTGGAAGTATTTGAAAGAATAAGTCAACATTTCTCTTATGTGACCACTAGTACATTTAGAAGCCTTTCAGTTACCCATCGTTAAGCTCCTTTGCTACCTTGGAGTTACGACAGCTATGAAAAATTTTCTAAAGCAAAAAGGACAAAACACCATGCAAAAAATTGTATAGTGCTGAGTTAGTCCTGGATTAACCAAATTTGTTCCAGAACAGAGGAAGACTATTTCCATTTTGAGAAAAAAAGCTACCCCATACCCTCACATGTTTTAGCTCACAGCAATAAGTAACTGTGGCTAAGTCACTTAGTAGAACATTGCTCTGTATAATTTCAATGCTGTACATAATCTACGAGTAGATTTATATTGGGAGTTCCTCAGCTTTCCGTTCTCACCACCCTCACTCTGAAAGTGACACTATAAAACAATTTTATTTCCACACACAATTACACTTCCAACTTTTTAGTTTTGGAATTACTGAGGTAGAAAACATTACCCTAGTTAACAATATAAACCATTCATATATTCTATTTCAGACCTGTATCCCTTGCTTTTCACTCTTCCATTGCCTAAGATACACCTCAAAGGAAAGTTCTGCAAGTTGCTGCACAAGCGGCATGTTCTGTGGTTCACACTGTAGCTAACCCTGTGTGAAGAGGCTTAATTAATCTTTGACCAAAGAGTAAGCCAGCTCGAATTTACTATTTATCATAAGTGTACCCATGGCACACACGCTTAGAATAGTTACGTGTGCAGGCTGTCCCTAATTTTGTTTTTCGTAGTTACTGGTTACAAGAAGTAGTTCCAAGCCCTTCCCAGATGCACTACTCTCTTTTGCAGCTCAGAACTGCTGCAAGTCTAGAATAAGTTTACATTTCCCCCCCCCACCTCCTCCCCACTAAAAGCATTCTGAGAATTTGAGGGTCTACTATCTGAGAAAATACAGTTTAAAAGCTGCCTCACAAGTGAAATTACACTGACAGCAAGTTAAATCACTAGAGTTCACCTAGTGGACTAGGTATTTGCTAAGCAAATGTTACCAATACTTGACTAGGAAGTTTAAGTTATTTTATTTAGTTCCTTTATCACCCTGAAGTAAAGTCGCACATCAAGTCACAGTCTTTCAAAGAACTAGTGGATGCGTTTCATAGTCTGAAGTTAGGTGACATTGATTATGCAAGGATGAAAACCAGAGTGTTAAAAAAAAATCCCACAATATTCCACTCCTCCCTGCCCTACCCATTCTTTTGTTAGCACTAGGATTTCTGTGAAATAAAAATAGAAGGGAAACTTCCTAGTTGCATCAGCAGCAACTAGCTCTGCCAAGTTATTCCAAGGACAGGAAACTAAAAGATTTTTGAGAAAACAGTTTGAAAACACATTCAGTTATAAAAGTATGTATTTTTTTTTTGTGCACAATACATAGTTTAACAAATCAAAAGCAGAAACTGTAAACCTTCATTCTTAATAGCATTCAGAAATACAAAAAAGACATGTTGATTCCATCCCACAGATCCGGAAGTTAAGCATCTATTCTACAGACAACAAACAGTAAGACAATCCAAGAAGCAGACCGTGTTGTTCAGCAACATAAAGGCACCAACTCCTTCACGGATTTGGCTCTCGCTGCATCAGAAAACGGCAGCGATATTCTGCTAACACTCAAGCTTAGCGTCATTTCCAAGTGTGGGATTCATCGTGCTATTACAATTCTGATCTACCCATCACAGCGTTCTCTCAGCCAGTGTGCTAATTCGGTGTTAGAGCTCAGGGAAGTCAAGAACATAGACTTGTAATGGAAAGGGAGAAAAAAATCCCAATGTTCAGCATGTCCAGGTGCTACAGAGAGGGAGGGTGGGACTGTTGCAAGCAGAATAAGGTAATTGCTTCAGTCTTCTGTTCCAGGAGACAACCATAATTACACAAGGTGTACATTGCTTTCACAGCCAGCAGCATATATTCCTTCAGTTAACCTGAAGTTTGTAAGAAAGTTAAAAAAAACCCACCAAACCACTTACTGAAACATACAAATCTCTACGCTTTCCCATGCAAGTGGTTGTTAGAAATTTACTACGCAACATTTTTGAAAGTACTTTTTCACTACTTGTGTTTTTAAGCACATAATTTTCATTTACTAATGGGGTAGATAATGAGCTTTTAAATTCTATTAGCTTTCCAACAACTACTGGAAGTGAGACAGATGCCAACACACACTACTGAACTATCCCATCCCCTAAAAATGAACTGACCTTATTCATGTAAAGCAGTCTACCACTGACCTAGTTATTACATGCAGCAGCTCCATCCTTTGGTCATTTTTTTGGTATTTTTTTTTGTCTTTAAATAGCAACTTGTCCTGGGAGTGAATTAAGAATATACCAGTAATACTGATTGTATTTCTACTACAAAGAAAACAACACACTTAACACTTTGTCTTACATTTCAGCAGATTAGTGTCATCTCTCTAGCCCCGGGATTCATTATTAACAGCTACAGGATACTTAAGGACTGTCCTTCCAAGAAAACACCTCATAATGCTATTAGTTTTAGTTAGTCTTCCAATCATTTTGGCTGGAAGGTTTTTGCCATTCAACATTGAGTATCACAAGTTAGTGGTAAGTCCAGAGCATCATTTTCACCTTTAAAACAGGCAAAATGTATTGCTGAGTGGAGTTAAAATTATAGGGGTCACTTGCAATTTACTTGCAAAGGAAAAAAAAAACCTCTAGAAAATCCTGGGAATAAATCTGATTACAGGAAAATCAGAACGTTTTTCTTTATAGGAAGTGAGCTTTACCTCACCTGGTCAGAAATTCCTCTATTCTGCAACACGAAAGCAACATTTTTAATTGCAAGCAACTTGGACATGAAATACATCCAACTGGCAGTTCCAAAGTCTGTGGTACTAAACCAGTCAGGACTTTATTTGGAACTAGTTTATTTAAAACTAGCATACAGTTCCTACTGCCTTCTCAGACTTCTTGGCAAAGAAGTTACATATAAACTTCTCTGTAGGTTTAAGAAGCTCCCTGCAAGTCACCGCTGAGAAAAAACCCTGCACCAGATCTCAGTGTTATTTCACACCAGAGAAAGGCATGAACTGAACTCCAGTGAAAACCGCCCATGGGACACAGGCAAGTTGCATGCTCTCCTACCCAGTTACTTCCAGTTAAGATGCATCTTTCAAACATTTCAAAGTTAACTTTCAGATGAGGGGCATAAAATTTTCCATCAAATAAATACTTGAGGGAGATAGCTTTATTTTCTTCTACTCTGGTGCAGGGGGATTAAGATCAGGGCTATAGACACACAACAAATACGATGAGAACAATGCAGCACGCTCGCCTGGTCATGGCCTCCAAACCGATCAATTTACAGTTAAGAAATGGAAACCTGCATATCCCTCCAGTGCCCTTTACGTTAAAGTTCATGTGGTTAAGAAGTGTTTTAAAGCCCTCAACCCTCAGGCAGAAAGAAGTGGGTCTCTTCAATTCCGTAATCCACAAACTCAAGCCCAAACCAACCGTGTGGTTTGGGTTGTAAAACTGATAGCCTGTTAGAGATACAAATCAGACAATACTCACCAAGTCTCTATTTTAGTGAAGACACTCAACTTATGAGGTATTTCAAACAGTGCAAAGTGCCCTCTCCAACTTTCCACAACTGTGAATTCAGGTTACCCTGCTTGTTCAACTTCAGTCAAGGACTGTATTTTGGGTGCAGAAAAGAGAGAGACTGGGAGGGGGAGTAAAAAAAAAAATTACAAAAAGATTCTCAAAAACAGAACACTTTTAGCCCTGAGCAGTTTAAAGAAAGTGAAGGCAGATGAGCAGGAGGAAGTTATGTTGGCTGCTTTCTTGGAGTCTAGGCCACCTTTATATGAAGCAATTAAAAAAAAAAAATTAAAAATTAGTCCCTATAGAAAGGGTACTGCTTCATTTTTCCCAGCCCTTCTTATTTCAGAATAGAAGTTTCACAGATCCATGAATACAGTGGCTTGCAGCTGGAGAGACAGTGTCATTGAACAATGACAGCAGGCTTTAATTGTCAATTAATTTCTTGGCTCTAACGTTGGCTTGTTCAATGCGTTCCCTGTTTGTATCGGCCTGAAAGAGAGAAATTCATAGGTCATTTGCAGACTTCATGCAAAACAGTTTAAAAATTCAAACTGACAAGAAGTTGTGAATTGCAGGGTATTGTCATTGTAGACAGGATAGGAGCAATTTTTATAAGCTAGAAGTATTTTTTTTTCTCCTCACCTAACCAGCACATGCCATCAGTTTTGTCAGAAATCGAATCAGGAGCAACAGTTTTTAGGCTTTAACAGACTCTCAAAACATACAGCAGAGTTTGCCTCAGCAAGTCAGGAAGAATATTAACAGAACAAGGAGATAAAAATTCCCTCTCTCCAAGTGTTGAGACATCTTAAGGACCCTAGGGAGCAGCTTTGTTGCTATGGACTAGAAGTAACAGTCAAAACTGGAACTGAGCTACAGGCATAGCATCAGAATTATTTTGCATAGTGCAAATTCCTTGGTTTTCATCCACACACCCTCCAGCGTCCTAGTGTCATAGGTATCTGCAGGAAAAGCTCGATTTTACAATTGTTCTATAGTATAAAGCATCATAACTCAGCCAGCATCTAGGCTGAACAAGTATCAGAACACATTTTTACTGAAAGGTACGATAAGGAGCTTTCAAGTAATTCCCTGATTATCCAGTCTGCAGCAGGGAATGAACAGGAGCACAAAATGAGCCTCTGTCCTCACCACAAGGAGTGGGACTCCCGAGAAGCTCTACCTGTGTCACCTACTAACCATTTTGTCCCACGAATGAAGGATGCTCAAGTCCTTCCCTCCCATTTTTCCCCCTCCTGCCCTTTGGGCCAAGGATTAGAGAGGTACAGGAATCTAATATAAAAAAAAAATGAGAATCTAACCTGTTAACACCACTTGGGAAACACATTGCTCTAGCTACTAAATCTTCTTTTAAGAAGAAGCCAGTAACAAACTTTTATTAGGGGTTTATTCAGACTAGGAGTCTTGCCTAACACAGCAGGCTATCAAAAGTCTCCCCACAAAGCTTATGTACTTCCCAGGTGAGTTGGATTTCTTATATAAAAAAAAAAAGGATAAAAGCATCAACCCCATTCCGACATTAAGCTTAATACCACTTTTTGTTTCTTTATATGATAATGTCCTTTGGAGATTTATCCTCAACGTTTTGATTTGGATTCCACACTGTTCACTAGATGTAAACACACTTATCAGCAGAAAAGGATTAATTTAAATATCTTGAGACAGGTTGCCAGCTTCAAAGCCAGGAATTGCACTTTCACTTTTACTGTGGTTTTTGTTAAAACAACTCTAACTTGTTCACATCGTATTTTAATAGTTAGTGAGATTTTCATCAGCAAGATTTATTGAGGCAACTAAAGTGAAAGAACATCAGGCCAAAACACATACTTGAAACAATTGGAAACACTTCTGCTAAAAACAGTGAATTCCTATTTGAAGCAAATTTGACCAGACCATATTTCAGCCCACTTTATAAGCTGTAGAAATTTCACATTTCATTTTAAACTATGATCACGTTTTCTAGTGTTCTTCGAAATGTTGTAGTTCTTTTATTTGATAATCATCTCCGTCTGCAATTTCAGGGAATAGCAGAAAGACAACCTCCATAAAATCATGGTAATTTGCCTTTATTAATACCACAACCTCTAAATTACTAGACAAAATTGAGATGCTGACCTAAGTACAACCAGCATTTATATCAGACTAGCTTTGTATATTTGAGAAAATTCTGTTCCTCTTGCTTTTAACTCTACTGGGCATTTCAGCAATATTTTTAACTTCCCATTTTGTCTTAATTTGTAGAATTTGATAGCAACTGGTATTCATTTCTTTTTTAAATCTTTAACATAACACCACTCATTAAAGCTTTCATTTCCTTAACCAAGATGCCTGCAAAAAAACCCCAAAACACAACACACCAAAAACAAAAAAACAAACCACCCTTCTAGTAATTCCAGAATATAGGGAATTCTAAAATAAAACTAACTTCCTCCTAAGCTGTCCCTTACAAACATATTTGTGTGATCCATCTGTTCTTGGAAGTTAATTTTTCAAACAATTAACAAAAATAAAGGATGTTACTAGCAATGACTAATTTCATGCGCAGGTGAGAGCAAACTATGCCTCTGTGCACCTATGAAACCTGTTATTCCAAAGTCTCCCCAGCCTCAATGTCAACCAGTTCACAAAAACCAGCGCAATGAATCCCCTGCATTTTATGTGCAACGACTATAGGGACTTTTCAGGAATTCCAGAAAAACCTTGCTATTGCTAAAAAATACCTATTCCCTATGAAATACAAGATTCTCTGTGAGTAACAACCCCCCAGCTACACCTCCAGTACATTTGCCCTTTTGAGCCAATACGGTTCAAGCTGTTTTCAGAGGAAGCAGTGACCTGGGCTGTATTTTTGTTTACCAACATTTGAATTTTCAGCTACATATCCAAACACCAAATTATATCTCCTGTTCAAATCACTGTGACTTAGAGAATGGTAGAGAAGACAGTGAGCCCATTCCTTAACTTCTCAGTAACAATCTCTAAGCTGAAGACAGAGAACATTTGACACTTACCTTCACATTTATCCGGTCTATTTGTTTATTCTGGGCATCAATCTCATTGCCCATATCCAAAGCCATGTTTTTCAAATTCCCAAGGATGTTCCCTACTTGAGTAAGATTTTCATCCATTTCATCTTCTCTGGCATCATTTGTTATCCTGTTCAAATAATTGAGACAATGTTTCCAAGAATCAAAACCTTCCTTTTCCTTGCTCTACATTTAGTCTAATAGAAATTGTCTGTTGCACAGTTATCTGACAGGCGATGTATTCAAGCCAAGGTGTTTTCTTCCCTTTTACAGCCTCATGTATTCCAAGCAATCAGCCCACCAAAAAAAGGCATTAAGCTGCTATTACAAAAATAGCCTTAGAATTTAAACTATCAGCTACCTAAAGCTTAAGACATGAGTTTGTCACAAATAGAGGGCTTATATTGTCATGAAGTATATTTCTAACAGTTGCCTCAACAACTGAGGACTAAGCTCTATAGTCCACATACAGAAACAGAATGGTAAAACCACTGCCGTGAAAAAACTGAAAGTTTACAGTGAGCACTACAACTGAAGTACAAGTGCCTGCCGCCTCCTCTCCAACCAGAAAACTTCACCTAAAACACATCTGAAAGAAGAGGACAACTGGCAACACAGGATTTCTGCATCTGAGACTGAGAAATATGAAGTAGCAAACCTTGTAATATATCCACCGCTTGGTGCTCCAGAAGTCTGAGGTCGCTGCTGATTCATACTTCGTGGTTGCATGGATATCACATGGTCTACCGAGTTCTCTGTCCCATCTCCCCAGGTTGCTCTGTACGCCTTGCTAGCCTCGAAGCTCTTCGTCCTACTCCATAAAAATAAGAAGTCTGAACGGCTACATCAGAAACGAGGCTTCATGACTGAAGTTCTGTATTCATCTAGGATTTTCAGAAATAGTTGTCTTGTGCTAAAGAGATTAGACTTTGCACAGATCAAGCCTCATCTATACAATATGATTTCTTATATCAGGATAGTACAAACATAACTGAGTTATTCTAGGGACAGTGATTAACTTGGTCTTAAGCTTTAATACAAGCATAGTAATTTTCTTAAAGAGGGGAAGCTTGTGACAGCAACAGGAAAGCTTACACTGCCATAAAATAAAGTTGCATTTGCAAGAGGACTTAGTCTAGAATCAGGATTACTTACTTTTCAGGGAAGAAAAGGGGATAAAGGAAAGAAACTCCCTCAAGTACAAGCTAGCTACACTATGCAAGAAAACCATTAATATCTACCGTTTTTCAGTCACATGTTCTCTGTGGCCATGTCTTTCTTTCTGAAGTTGACATTTCTCAGGTTAATTTTAACGTTTAAACAGCTCCTTTATCCCACAATTCCACTGTACTAAGTCCTTTAAAGCGACAAACCAACCTGACCATTACACTTTTACCACGTAATTCAGAAAAGGAAAATAATAAATGAAAGAATACACACTGACATTGAAGCAACCTCAGGAATCACAGACCCACAAAAATAAACAAAAAATAACTGATCTGAAATGGGGTCAGTTCTCATGAAACCTAAAGAAAATATTTTGAGAATACTCTCATGCTGGCCCTGATTGCTACCATTTTCAGGTGTAAAATAAATAATCCAGACTCCACTGCCACTTTTCTGCTTCTTTAAAAGCCTGTGAAGGGAAATCTGTAGAGTCTTCCAGTAACTTTACAATTACAGGTAATCAATTTTTCTTATCTCTAGTGCCTTTCAATAGACCTGATGCTTCACATTTGAGTAAGTGTGAGATTAGCTGTAATGAAGAAATACTCCCCTCATTTTTCTAGCATTTACGTAACTGAAATGGGAAATTGTATTTCATAGGTCAGATCCTACAAAAAGCAATCTAGTATGAATACAGCAAAGGAAAGAAGAGGAGTAATTTCTCAGTTCATAACGGAGCCATTGCACTCAGCAGAACCCTGAAGAAACTCTAAGCTAGTCAATTCTAGCTCCTTGTGCATAAACAGGTTTTATTCTCTCCTTAGGTTTACTGCAACTAGATTGAGCATTACATTTCAATCTCATTAATACCAAAATCGCAACAGCAGAAGAGCGTTGTATGTTTGGCTGCTGGATTAGCAAAATCTTAGGTGCCAGAGGTAACTGTGAGAAATCAAGAAAAAGCAGCCTGAGGGCTACTTGCACATCTGAAGAAAAAAGCCAGAAACAGAATTGCTGTTCAAACTAAGCAGAGTTAAGAACAGTTTCTCAGCACCTGATTTTTTTTAAGAGTCGTTTTTCAAATTACTATATGCTCACTTTTCTCACGTTTCCTCTCTGCAAGAGTAAGCCAATTTAGAAAACCTGTCAAACCAGCAAGGCCTCAAGCAGTTTTTCAACATTTTCACAGCCAACACACTTTCTATAGTAACTGACATTTTCTATTCACATCAGTATTACAAGACATCACAGCCACAAGGACACCTGCATGCAGACGTCATGCACATGCAAGCACAAATCCAACAGAAGCATCACTTCAGACAGATGATTAAATGTACATCTGCACTAATAAGACTGACCTTGTCCTAAAATCCGCTTTCACCAGTTAAGTGAATAGAGCTTCTTATCCTAGTCTTCATTTTTAGAAAGCAAGCATCAGTGTTAGGAGAGAATAGAGAAGAAAGAGTAGGAAAGAGCAGCAAACAGGTAAATTGTTATTAGTACACAGATTATATTAGAGTACTGCCAGTATATTGTGTTTTCACAAAGCTATTATACATAATCTAAGCCTAGGAGAAATGAGAAAAACAGTATTTAATTCAGCAAGTGTTCCAGTTTAGTTTTATGCAAAAAAATGAAAAGCTTGAGATAACTCATTGACAAATAAACACATTGACAGAAAAACTGATGTACCAGTAGATTTTTTTTTTGACACATTACTGCCTAATCTGGTGTGCAACTCACTATTTCCTTTACTGTTATTTGTGCATTTGGAGTGCCACAAGAGTTCACACATCCTGAGCTTGCTCAGCGTCACTAAATCTGCTTAGCTTCGGTGAAATAAGACTGTGAGCTACAGAAAACAAAGCCTGTGTGTGTCCAAATGCTCAAAGTCCATCATCTTGGTAAAACTACTATAAGGATGTAAGGAGACCTGCCCAGAGGTGAGGACAGAACTATGTGCCTTTTCAGTGTACTAGGGCTCTAAGAATCACAAGGGGCCAGTTCTGTTCAATATCTTTATCAATGATCTGGATGAGGATCAAGTACACCCTCAGTAAGTCTGCAATTAACACCACGCTGGGCAGGAGTGTTGCCTTGCTTGAGGGAAGGAATGTTCTACAGAAGAACCTGCACAGGCTGGATCAATGGGTCAAGGCCAATTATATGAGGTTCAACAAGGCCACGTGCCAAGTCCTGCTCTGAGGTCACAGCAAATCCCAGCAGCACTACAGGCCTGGGGAGGAGTGGCTGGAGAGCTGCCTGGCAGAAAAGGCCCTGGAGGTGCTAGTGGGCAGCCGGCTGAACATGAGCCAGCAGTGTGCCCAGGTGGCCATGGCAGCCAACAGCATCCTGGCCTGGATCAGGCCAGCAGGACCAGGGAAGGGATTGTCCCCATCCTCAGCACTGGTGAGGCCGCACCTCGAATCCCGTGTTCAGTCTTGGGCCCCTCATGACAAGACAGACATTGAGGTGCTGGAGCATGTCCAGAGAAGAGCAAAGCAGCTGGTCTCAAGAACAAGTCTTCTGAGAAGCAGCTGAGGACACTGGGCAGTTGTTTAGCTTGGAGGAGCCCAAGAGGAGACCTTATCACTCTCTACAACTACCTGAAAGGAGCTTGCAGCAAGGTGCTGTTTGGTCTCTTGTCCCATACAACAAGCAATAGGACAAGACAAAATGACCTTAAGTTCCACCAGGAAAGGTTTAGACTGGATATCAGGAAAACTTCTTTCACTGAAAGGGCTGTCAAGCATTGAAAAAGGTTGCCCAGGGAAGTGGTGGAGGCACCATCCCTGGAGGTGTTTAAAAGATGAGTAGATGAGGTGCTTAGGGAGATGGCTTAGTGGTGGACCTGACATTGCTAGGTTAATTGGACTATCTTAAAGGGTTTTTTCCAACCTAAAGGATTCTGATTTTACAACTTTCAGCCTTAGAAGCCACTATCTATCCTAAATAATCCTCAAAGTATTGTTCTGTTGGACAAGCAGACTCAGCTGCTTCAAGGAAATTTTAGCTACATTTCTGCTACCTCTTAGCTGAATTCTAAGGTTATTTTGCTCATGCTAAGGAGCTGAAAATGAACAAACATATACACTATTCACTTCAGTGGTCACACTCTTAAAGTAACTTGTTACTCCTTCACTTGGAAGAGAATTATGACCACATCGATTCACAAAAATCATCGATACTTCACTGCTTAAAGACAGCACACCTTCAAGAAAAAAAGTATTATTTTCCTTAAAATACTGATTTCTGATTGTTGTTTAGTCTGTTTAGAAATATAAATCAAGTGCCATACAAATGATTACTCTTAACTGACTTGGATATGGTGGCCATAACACTGATTTTACAAGGGCACTGTGAAGCAGGTCAACAAGAATTTATGTAGTCCCTAGTGAAAAATTAAAGCTTTAACACTAATGCCTGTTTCCCTACTCTCTTCCTCCCTCAAGCATGAGTATTTTTTAAATGCCTAGAAAACCAATGTTACTTTCGTTCGTCAAAACAGAATTTTTCTTGCTTTTAAAGTAGTACAGAAGTACTTCATGGAAAAAGTGATTCTTGGAGTCAGATTTTAAACAGACAAGCACTTCCATATACCTACTTGCAGTCCAATTTGGTCTCACCTGTATGGATATTGATAGTATTCCACTGAATATAAGCTTTAAGGAGAATAGGGCACAATAGTGCAGGATGTTATACAGCAGTTGTACATACAGTGAAATGTGCACAATATATGGTTAGATGCAAGTAAGCTTTAGCTATTCTCATATACCTTTAAAAGAGTGTGCTTCCACAAGCCAAAACAGTCAACTCCCCTAGACATTCAGAGGTTTTATTTAGCTCTTTTATTAGAGACTGTTTTCTAGTACAGTAGCTATTGTGAATATTCTCAAACTTCCCACCCAAGTACTAATTTAACCTACCTGTTGCAAGGACAGACACAGAGCCCACAACACTTGTTGAGCTCTGTCAGTGTCTTCTCAGCTTCTCTCATATCCTTATTTATCTGGTCCATGCCTTCTTCTATGCGATTTAGTTGTTCTAAAAGAAAAACAAGTAACCTGAATAAATATGAATTAGGGAAAGGTGGAGATGAGATAGTAATATTTCTTTCAAGCAGGAACTTGCAAGTTTTAGTTTTATCTTTACACCAAGACTAATGCTTTTTTTCCTGTCTTCCAGGATTTTTTATTTTCTTTTTAAGAAAGATATTAAGTGATGTTTTGTTTATTACATTCAAATATTTTCCCTATCCGTAGAACAGCATTTTTGTTGCTGCTTTTCAAATAAATGCAGTTACATGCATGTTAGGGTGGAAAGGAATGCTTCCGTATCAGAGCTGTGTTACATTGTAACTAACGGTCTCTTAACTACTTTAAATGTCTTAAATACAACAAACACATGGGAATAACCATTTAGCAAGTCTCATTTTCACATAAGTAGTCTTTTGTAAGCCTTCAGTTTCAGCAACAAGTCTTGATTGATAAGCCTTTTTCTTGCAGTTGTAAAATTGGTTTTTAGTGTTGAAAGAAGGAAGAACTCACCTCCCTGTTCATCTAGCATGGTGATGGTTTTGATGCCAACATCCTGGGACTGCAGAAAGAAATTTATTTGCAGATATAGAAACAGTTTTCAACACAGCAGTCCAAAATTAGAAGGTGTCTATAACATATCTTAGAAGTAAACCACGTTCGTAATAAAACACTGTGTTAGGAATAACTTCTGTAGTCAAGCTATGCCAAATTGCAAATGAGATCCTATGCTAGGCTGATAACCTCACCTATTACACTACCTCAATTAGTGTCTTTTTTTGTAATGTAAAAAAAAATTCTAATTAACATAAGAAATTTATTGTCATACTCGGATTGAACTATGGCAAGGTCAACCTAAAAAAGCAAAGCTCGCTGTGTGTCCTGGTTTTAGCTAAAAACCCCAATTCTCTTCAGTGATTTTTTACTTTCCAGTTTAGTCTCTTCTAAAAGGCTGCACGTTCTGAAGTTCGCAGCACGTTTTTTCAGACAGTGTGTGCTACCGGCAGTGATAACACCTGATGTTTACAGTTACTGTCTGGGACTGGGATGCAGACAGGCTCTTGCTGATATTTATTCCTACAGTAATCAAGGCCACTGCTGGCTCTTGTGCCACACTGGGAGTGCCAGGTAGTGAGAGGGGTCACAAGGAAGTAAAAGGTTGCACCTCTGGGGGGTAATAGACTGGACAGGTGACCAATGAGAGTGTTCCATCCCATATACGTCATATTTAGTATAAACTGAGCAATCATGTGAGTTTCTGCCCTGTTTCCTTCTTTTCTCTTCTGCAATGGCCGGTGTCCAGGGAGGACTCTGTCCAGTCTCCTGCTTTTGATCTGGATCCTGAGTTCCCAAATCCAGCTCCCTGTATCCAGCTGCTCAGTGCCCTGAGCCTGGGGCTTCCCTAGTGCCGCCTGCTCTGCAGCACCACTGGGGATTGATATCGGGGTCGGGGGGAGTCGGGTTCGATATCGGGCTTTTTTTTTATATATATATTTGTATATAGATCTTTATCATTTCACTATTATTTCCATTATTGTTTCATTAAAGCTGTTCTAGTTTTTCTTTCCTAACCCATAACTCTGTCATTCCCTTTTCCTTCCCATTTGGAGGGGGAGAGAGGAGGTTAAACAACATCTGTCCACATCTAGTGGCCAACCCAGCCCCAGTCCACAACACTGTGCTTTGTTTTCAAAAGTGGCATTAATTTCATTCTTTATTCCTACATCCTTCAATAGGGCTAATAAGGCCTTTAGTTTTGGAAGTTAGAATAAAAAAAAAAGAAAAAGCAGTCTGCAAAAGCATTCTTGAGAATTGAGCTTAACTATAATATCAAGAGAAATTATGCTGGCTGATTATATGTTCTTAATGTTCATGTTTGAGAAGTATTCATTAGGCTATGCCCATTCTAACATCTCTCTCATAGCTCTGCACAGCGAGTACAGGCTCTAAAGCAGCACTAAGAATTTCAGGTCCTTTTTCACTGGATTTCTCAGTGTTCGCACACTGACAATAAATAGTCTCAAGCCTTCACCACTAAAAGCCTGGGCATTAGTTTTGAAAGGCATTACTGCTTAGTCTCTGGATTCCCATTTGTCTAAGCAATATGCAAGTACCAGCAAATTTGTCTTGCTGAACCAGTTAAGCTTTGTGAAATCTATCAGAGCTGACTATCAGCCATCTCACTTTACTCCCTTACCAACAGGATGCTCTATATTTCTTTGAAATTACAATATAAAAAGCTTTCAGTCATTCTTACAACAGGAAACACAAGTTGTAACAGTGTAGAGGAACTGATTCCTCATACAATGTCACCTAGGTAAAACCAAAATACAGATTTATTTGTTTCAAGTCATGTACCAGGGTGTTAAGTTTCATCCCCATTTTAAAGTTAAAACTGATTAGCAGATCATAAGGAGGTGTATGTAGCGTTACTTTATTTAGAACCAAAAGCAGTCCCACCCTCTACTACGCCACCCAACCGAGCCCTACCCTCCTCCTCAAAGCAAGACACTGTTCACAGGCAAACTGAGCTAAAAGACAAATGGGAAGATGTTATAAGCAGCAAATGATGCAGCAGCCAAAGCCGACCACCACAAAAGACTTGTTATAACTGATCTGTAACATTTGGCAGTTAAGCCACTCTGCTTCAGAGGAAAACAGGTAAAAAGAATATTGATCCCTTTGATTTGACTTCACATAATGTGAAAAACATTAGGCTGAAGTCATTACAACTCTACTATTGAATTAAAGCAGCAACTTCTAATAACGAACTGTGTCTCAAAAGTTAAAAAAAGACAAAAGTGTGATCAAAATGACTCTGTAACAGTCAGCATGCTGCTTCTTAAATTAGTAAGTCCCCAGAGAATTCAAAAGCTTTTCCTTACCTCAATGGCCAAGCCAAGAATCCTCCTTGTGCTTTCCAAGGACTAGAAAGATAATTTTAAAATGAGTGCATTAACAGTATATATCAGTGTCTGAAAGCCTTTACCAGTTCATGGCACTAGAGCAAGCAGTATACAAAGGTTCATCAGTCTCTCTGTAAGTAACACATACAGTGTGGCAACACACTACTGTGTTTTTTTTTCAGTAAACCCTTGGGTTTTAGAGTACTTGCTAGTATTCTACTTATCCCACTAGAAGGTCATTATAAGAAAAAATACATTCAAATTAATTTTAGATAAATTAAAAGTCATGAAGTATTAACATGACTAAGATCAGTGTGGGTACCCAGCTTGCATTGTCTCAGTGATCAGGACTGGTGATCAGTACTCTGTCAAGCAGGTGGCTTTCCAATTTCGCAGTTTAATTCTTCCTTTTAGTAGTGGTCTTCACTCCAGTGTTTTATCAAGCAAAGTCAGAGTTTGAAACATTCAGCTGCATCGTTCCAGAATCACTACCTTGTGTCTTTATTTTTTAAAAAGATATTGTAATCTCAGCCGATAAGTACCATAATCCCAAATGGTTTCCAATAATACTTACCTCATCAGTGACCTGGTTGGCCCTCAGCTGAATTTCTTCAGGTGATAGTTCAGCCATGATGAGGAACTATCACTTGCAAGTAATCACGTTAAAGAAAATCTCCCTGTAATAAAAAATATCAGTTAATCAGAATTATCCTTTTATAAGTGTTTTGAGTTGAAAATGGAAGACAGTTTCAAGAATAAAGTCGTTCAGTCTGTTTAGTCTAATACGTGGTTAGTGCTAGAAGGCACTACAAGAATTATTCAGGTGCTATCAGTATGTGGAACAGCTTCCTTTTCAAGACTTGGCTTTCTAAACATTTTTGGAAAATCTGATCTAATATGAGTTTAAGGTAAAAACCAGGAAATAAAGTCTTAAAATATAAACCTTCTCTGTGTTGGGAAAAGCACATTGGTTCACCCAGTAATCCAGAAAGAAATTCATGAAGGCATTTAAGTTATTAACAGAGGTTTTATGCGTTCTCTTATCTTTGAGGGATTTCAGCAGACGGAAAAAGGAAAACACTGTGACAGACCAAGCACCACCTAAAAAGATTCCAGTAACATTCTAGAAATAGTTGTTCTTCCCATATGGTGAATCCCTCAAATGGAAAAGGATCTGCAGAAGTTTTAAACGGCCTATCTGCAATACTAGCAAAGTTTTTCAAATCTACCTTTCTCATACTAAAGATAGGGTAAAGATTTTCATAACTCAAGTCCCAACACACCATGATTTAACTTTCGCTATAAACAGGAGATAGACTTTTGCCTGAAGAGACAAGAGGAGAAAGCAAGTCAATTAATAAATGTATTCTTAAGAGTCAGGTTTTTCAGAGGTAAGAATCTGCATTTCTCTTGAAGGAACGGTAAAGCCAGCACTCCTAGCAATGGGAAAAACAGAGCTCCCAGGCTATACAAGACTTTAATGAGAACACATAAGCTAAACAGTAAGATTTTTTTTTAATTAATTTTTCCCCATAACTTTAGGTTAATCCTTGCTCTTTCACATGAGTAGTTTCCAATTAAGTTCACATCATCCACTGAGACCACTCCTGTTAATCAAGTGAGACATTTTAACTATGTTCCATTTTTCAATATTTTAGAAGACAAAAATCAGTAGCTGCTCCTGGAAGGGTGAATTCAGGCAGATTCACCCAGCTGTTAGCTAAGGAATGAATGCTGTTCACAGCTCTCTGCGGGAAGTGTGCACACCTCTGCAGCTGAACTGAAACCAAGATATCTAATCCCTTACAGCTGAAGTACTTCAAGATTTGGAGAATATTTCAGCAGGTCTAGTCTTTAGCAACCCAGCATGGCACCTCAGCCCAAGATTATGGCAGCTCTGGGAGGTTTTTCTAAGTAGCTGTGAACAAAAGTTATTTATTTATTTTAAATGATGGCAAAAACTATGACATTCTCACACAAAGCATCCAATAGCTCAGTTTGCAGTAGTTCAATTTCACTACATACTCAATGACTTATTCCTTCATTCACACGCTTACGCTCCTTTCACGAGGTTTATTTAGAGCAGCTCAGTCCCAGCTTTGAATTTGGCAACACGCTTCAAGCTGGTTTGCACAGCTAAGGACTAGTAAAGCAGGGTCAGGGAGGAAAGGACATATTTTCACTGAATTAGATTAAGCACGGGAAAATGACATCAAGCTGGGTGAAGATAGCACATTTACTTAATAATCAGAAACAGGATGAAATTTCAGTTATATAGTTGCACTGAACAAGTAATACTCGCGTTACTGTAATTGTTGCAGGCTTGGGCAGCCTTT